GCATACTAGATGGATGGGCTCTATTAAGGAGCTCATGTCTATGAGTTTACAGGAACTCAGCAGAACAGTGGAGGACAAGACAGTCTTGGAGATGTCTCATCCACAGGATTACCATGGGTTGAAATCGACTTGAGGGCAGCTAACAATAAGCAACAACATCAACTGATGCACAGGAGAGCTACTGTGGCATAGTGGTTTGAGTGCTAGATTATGACTCCGGAGACCAGGGTTCAATTTCCAGCTCAGCCATGAAGCCCACTGGGTGACCTAGAACAGATTACATGCTGTCAGCCTCAGAAGATGGCAATAGCAAACCTTCTCTGAACAAATTTTGCCAAGAAAACCCCATAATAGGTTCATTGTAGGGTTACTATAAGTCAGAAATGACTTGAAGGCACACAACAACAACAAACTGATGCACTAGGTGGATCATACCTTAAATGATGTCTGTCTTTACCATTGATGAAATCAATCACTGCACTTTTTACAAGATGTGAATCAACCCTCTTTTTTTCTCTTTACACTTCATGAGCATGAAAACACAACCTCATTAGCAGCAGTTAACTCATTTTCACAGCTCTCTCTATACTGCTTACTGTGTCAACAGTTGGAGGAATGACAATAATGTGGAAATTTCCAGTGAAGGTGGGGTATCTGTACAGTATGCCACAGCAGCCATAGGAAACAAGGGTTTCACCGTGCCTTGGAGGCTAGCAAATGAATTAGTCTTTAAGACAGGGTTGAGCAGGTATCATTGGTTATAGGACACATTGGCCTTTGAAGGGACTTTGGAGGACTACACTGTCCCCAATTACAGCCATCTTTTTTCTTCCCTTGTTTTGATCCCAAATGGCTCTCACACCCCCAGTGAGTGAGAAGGGGACAATTTCCCCACATGGATCCATTTTGGTCATTATTCTGGGGGGGGGGGGGGGGAAATCAGACATACAATACTATTAAGGAACTGGAGGAATTCAGTGGTTTTTGTTACTGTTAATTGATGTGAAGTCAACTTTGACTTACCCATATACGAGGGGTATCATAAAGTAATAATTATCACCCAGAAATTATTATGGTATATTGATGAAATTTTGTTAGTGTCATCATCACCAAGTGACTTTTTCTTTTCCCAAAAATGAAATATCCATTGCAGGGTTGGTGATTCGACAACATAGATGACGTCATTCGTGAAGTGGAAGAGTGGTTTAAGGCACAATCTGCAGACTTCTACAATAACGGCATTTGATGGGTCAAGAAACACTGGGAAAAATGTGTAAATCCGGATGGTGACTATGTAGAGATAAGTTAACAACTACAAATCAAAGCAAGCTTTCTGTCAATTTTTAAAAAGGTGATAATTAAAACTTTATGATACCTCCCTCGTAAGGCACCAGATCACATCTGACCTTGGAAGCTAAGCAGGGTCTGGATGGGAGGCTGCTTAGATGGGAGACTGACAACAAATATTAGGTGCTGTAGGCTATATTTCAGAGGAAAGAACTAGCAAACCACCTGTGAGTATTCCTTGCCTAAGAAAACCCTCTAAAAACCCTCTAAAATTCATGGGATTGCCAGAAGTCAACCAGCAGCTTGAAGGCATACATGAATAAGAGACCTCCAGGTCACCTTGTCATCAACAGCCCTGCTCAAGTCTTGCAAAGTCAGTGCCTTGGCTTTCAAGATAGAGGCTATCCCCTCTCCCATTTTCTCATATCCTTCTTTTTTAATCAGCAGTGCCTTAACCCTCACCTGTTTTCTAGCCATTTAAAATATATTTCCAATGTGTTATGGCACACCCATTTTTGCTTCTGTTTGAATTTTCAGTTTTAAACTGGCCATTGCAGTTTGGGCATTAAGTGACAATATTGTTTCAAAATTTGATGAATCCACCCAGTGGTGTCACTTGTGCTGGTGTCACCCATTGCAGTAATTCATTTGGAATTTTGATTTGTTGTTTCAGAAAGCCCTTTGCTGTTATCTAGCCATTTAAACTATATTTCCAATGCGTTATGGCACTCCCATTTTTGCTTCTTGTCAGGGTGTTTTGTGTTATTGCTCAAGTAACCTGAAGTCAAAAAGTCCATGGATTGCTGTATATCCATATATCACTGAATGTAATGACAATGGTTGTGACAAAAACAACTAGCAAAATTAAACCTTTAAATTACAATATCATACACACAGCTTAAAGGTACTTATATGCACCTGGTTTCATGTAGTTAAAATTAAAATTTGGTACAATAAGTATATATATATATAATTAAATTTTTAATTTTTAAAAAAAATAAAATTTCATTATTTTTTTAAAAAAAAACCCTGGGGCTTCTACTTTCTTCCCACTGAGCCTCACCCCACTTACACCGTCTCTTCAGCATTTTAAAGGGATGCAGGAGACTGCCAGAGCCCAATTCTACCAAAAAGCAGATCTTTGGGACCAGTGGTGTCACCCTCCCTTAAGCACCCCCATCCCTATTTACACCCCTGAACCTGGGACAATTTCCCAATTAATTATGGCAGACCCACTTTTTTCTCTTTCAGGAAGCTCCCCATTTTGGAATTTTGATATGTTTTTTTACTTCAAAGTGGACACTGCCAGTTGAACAATAACAGAAAACAACTTGGCAACTTTTGAAGCACTTAATGCAATGTTCCAATACGTTGTGGCAGGCACAGAAAGACATGCTTATCTTTTATTACAAAAAATAAGCCTTTGTGGATTGCTGCCCACTGCTTTAGATGCATATGAAGAACTGGGCTGCAGTCCATGAGAGCTCATGCAATTTAATTCTTGTTCGTCTTGAAGGTGCTAGAAGGCTCCTTCTTCTATGTTCTCTTTGGCATTCTTCCTGTGGTGTTAATACCACATAACTATGTAGCCAATGATGCTTTTTGTGGTATAAAGGGAAAGTAATAAAAAGAACCTTCAGGACATGCAGGAATCCTAGAGTTGGAAGAGACCA